AAAAAATTTATTTTTTAAAATACTTATATTTTAGTTTTATTATTTTTCTAATGATAAATTGTTTTAATTAAAGAAAAATGGTGACAAAAATAAAATAAAGAGAAACAATGATGTGGCAAATTTGCTCTTGAGATATGATAAAAAAACAAAAAACAAAAAAAGAAAGAGAAAAAAATGCTGCTGGAAATTTGCCCCTTCCATGTGGCCAAAAAAACAAAAAAAAAAAAAAGAGAAACAATGCTGCTGCTGGAAATTTGCTCCTGCCATGTAGCTGCTTACATGGCAGCACGCAATCCCATATGTAGAATTTCATTAACTCTGTTAACGGAGTTACATGGGGTAAACGAAAATGAAATAGTTTTGAAAGTTAATAGATGGCTCTGAAAGAAGATAAACTATCTAGATTAGAATGAAAAAAAGGTAATAGTTAATAGATGATTTATTATATTAAGTCAATTTAGTCCCGATTATAGTAGAGTTTTCAAAGTCAACGCCGCTTCCCTTTGTTTATGTTAAAAAACTTATACCCATGAATTGGATCAAGTCCATTGTAACTCAATACCAGTCGCACCATAGGCATAGTATGGACCGTTAGCCGTCAGGATAGACAGACCTTCTAGTTTTAAAGAGAAGGTTCCCGGGCCCAAATACACTTGAAACGGAGGAAAAACATAAGGTAAAAAGCAAACTCTCTAATCAAGTAAACCGGTATTATATTGCATTTCTCGAATTCTCTTATTTCTTTGGTCTATTCTTCCTAACCTATGTATCAAAAAGTATCACATTCACTAGAACCACCATATAATTAATTAATTAATTAAAGTATTAATTTATGAAAGGTTACCTTATTTTAATATCAAATTAAACTTTGATCAAAATATGGTGAGCATCTAGCAACATCTGCTTTGGTCATCATCACAACATGATCATGGCATAGAAACAAGCAACAAGTGTTAATAAGGTTCTTTCAACCAATTACTCTAACCCAAAAAAAAAAAAATAAAAAAAAAAACTTTATGTCCATAAAGCTTTAATTATAATATGTTCTTTTGAACCACATATTGATCTTGCAATTAAAGAGCATTGCAAATTTGCAATTAAAGCCAACAAATCAAGTTCTAGCTCTATATCTTTTGACAGAATATGAGAGATGGGACATAACATATAGAATGAGGCATGCAGCTACTACTTTTAACAAACACTTGAAGGTTATATTCATCTGACCATTTATCCCTAGAGCATATGGGTCAGCCCATTTTTTTATTAAATAAAAAAGAAAGTTTGTTGTTCATGCATGTAAGTGTTATCTCTAGAACTAAAGGCAGGCGTGATAAAGTAAGGGTTTTATCTCAATAAAAACAGCTTCCACAACCGACCAGTTGACCTCCCTGTACTTGCTCTTCTGTCTCTTTATCATTATCTTTCCCTTTCTAATTCCCTTTCGAGCTCGAAGAAAATGGAGACTAGATCCGATGGATCGAATTCAGACAAGTCGGTCCAAATGCTGTGGAGCTTAGAGGACAGGATTTCTGGAAATCCTAGGTCTTATACATGTTCATTTTGCAAGAAAGGCTTCTCAAACGCACAAGCGCTAGGAGGTCATATGAACATCCATAGAAAAGACAGGGCCAAGCTTAGAGTACAATCTTCGGATGAAACCATGCTTTCCTTGGACGTTGGGATGGGGAATCAAATTGATCATTCCCAGGTTTTTGAAGACAAGGATGTAACTTATTTATTGGAATCCATTACAAAAGGGAAGAGCTCGAGTTCTAGTACTACTCCTCAACGGTCATGCAGTACTCTTTCTAGTTGCAAAGAAGATCAGGACACTAGTATTTTGCCTAGTCAAGCTGCTATGGGGGAGGTTGATCATCAGCAGCGACCTTTGTTTCTAGATGCAACATCCACAGACGATGATGGCAAGACAAGCAATGATGGTCGTAACGACCGGATGGGTTTGGACCTTGAGCTTCGGTTAGGGCTTGAACCTCATCAGGAGACAACAACAACAAAGAGTACAATAGAGTTCTTTTGAGTTAATTTACCCATTTGAAGCCTTCGTGGAAGCTAAATAAAAGGTTTTCCTCTATTCTCTTTCCCTTCTTTCATTTTCCTTATGATAGGGTTACATAAAAAGTTCAACAAAAGACATAATTATCAGAATGATCTATATATATTTTTTCTGGTACCTCCAATTTTTTCTATCATATACCAATCAATGGAATTTCTGGAATTTCTGATCATTTTTCATTCCCCCCCGCCCCCGCCCCCCCTTTTTTTTGAAAGGCAAAACTGAGATATTAACATCCTTTTCTTTCCTATGTTGATGGACGGTTAATTAATTATGACCTGAATCTGATCATTAAACTTTTGATAGTGGCTTGAGATCCATTCAAATTACAAAGAAATTAGAGGTTTCAGAAGACTGTATATTAGGAATATAAGAAGATGGAAAAATTAGAGGTTTCAGAAGACTATATATTGGGAATATAAAAAGAAGGGAAAATTTTAATCACTAGCTAATAACACACACTAAAATGAATTAATTTTAGTTAAAAATTTGAAGATGATAGACATCTGCTATTGATCAGAAAGCTTTCAACGGTGTTGTGTTGAGAGATACATTTCTCGGTCTTTTAGCTAAGATCAAGTGTGTCGTGTTCGAGAGGTATATATATTAGATTAATTACAGGAAGTAATAATTAATTTGCATAATGGAATCATGTATAGGCAGGAGACATATACGGGAGGATCCGGCCTAACTAACTGTGTTTAGCTCATACTAGTGCTTGTAAATTATCATAGAGAATCCCTATCATTTGCCATATCGCACATGTAGTGTATTTTGACAATAAGTTTAAGAAATTGTTTAATTTGTGCTTTTAACACACAAGTTAAACCTCACTAATTAAGTATTTGTAATTAATTTTGTATAAATTTTCATAATAAATTCATATTTTTTTTACAAATTTGATTATAAATATTATATTATATTTTAATTTTACATTTTATATTAATTAAATTTGGTATGAAAATTTATGTAAAATTAATTAAATTAATGATACTTAACCTATGCCCTTAGAAAATCCCAAAGTTTTTTTTTTTTTTTTTTGACACAAGAAATGGTTAACTGTTAGTATTAGTATTTGTTTTGGTGTATGTTAGACGAGTCGAACGGGTGATCTTCATTTTACTCCTCAAAGGAGGAGCGGAGCCCAACCAGTAAGCCGTGTATTGGAGTTCAGAAAATCCCAAAGTTTAATTATAAGCAAAGCAGCTGTATTCTGGCTATGCAAAAATTTAATTGGAAGATGAGCACGCATATAAAACCAGATTCATCAGTACATTAATTAGCTTAAGATACAAACGTTACTAGCTAATTAGTGTTATGACGGCCGATAAATATAACTTCACCTATAGAGAGACTCTTCAGAGGAAATAAACTTACTTGAAGTTGCTACTTTCTAGTATATTAATTTCTTCCTAGCTAGCTTTAACCTTTTGCTCGCAAATTTCTCCATATCCATATGTAGTGTCATCCACCATTCGTCCAAGATTAGGTAGATCATAGATGAATTGCCCCTAGCTTAGCCTTTAAGTAATTTGTAACAGAAGGAAAACAAAAAGGGACAGCTACAAGAAACTTAAGTGTAGTTTTACTTCTTCTTCTTTTTTCTTTTTTTCTTTTTTAATTATTACCTTTTTTTTTTTTCTAAAAACAAAGTGAGTTTCGATAGCGAAAACTTTTAGATGTTGCATATTGCTCTTATGTGTAGTTACTCCGTTAGATTGCTCTTATATGATTTGTTTAAGAAGCTTCAGTTATCTGAGAGATTAATGGTTTCAAATTTAGTCTAGGGTTTGCTGTGATGCTCAAGTAATTAATGTAGTGTTTGGTTGGTATAAAGTAAGTAATTCCACAAAAGCAGATTTATAGCCTTTTTTTTTTTTTAATTCCTGATCGGACAAAGCATATTCATGTATTGCTCTGTGTATGGTTTGATTGTAAAGTATATTCATAACTTCGCACTTTTAAATAAGTCATGCATTTAGATTACTAAATTATCGCTCAAAGTAAAACTATTTTACTCTCATTTACAAGTGGTAAGGGTATTTTACGAAAAATTTAATACTTAATTTTATATTAGTGTTTGGTAATAAACTTTCAAATGAATTATTAGTCAATTCATTTTAAATAAATGAAATGAATTAATGATCTTGGAATTTTTTTGATCTAT